TGCATGGTGCGGGAATGGCGATATCTGAAGCTCCTCAAACTGAAAGCTTGACAAATCTCCCCAGTGATTTGAAAGGCATGGTTCCGGGCAAGCTCCCCATTCCGGCTGGTTCGTTGGCAGTCAAATGTCCGGCATGTCCTTGGCCGGGAATCAACCTGGAGGAAGGTTGGGAGCAGGACACTGTGCATCCGTACGTGCCGACACATAATATATGGATTTAGTGCTGATCACTCTGTTCAGGTGGAAATATAGTTTATTTCTGGCTATCGATGCTAATTTCCACCTCGTCCGATTTGTGGTATCGAACTCAGCACGGGACCCCAGCCTAGTGAATGGTTCTGGTTTTGTAGTAGCGCAAGAAGAGTTTAGAAAGCACGTCGCTGAGTATGGGAAGCGCATACCATACGATCCTAGCGACTGCAGAGACCATCAAGCCGTGAAACTCGCAACATCCAAACGTGGCGCAGGTTTGGCAACCAGTGGCGTGGCCACTGTAGACTGTGCTCGCCATGATGCCAAAGGGCCAGGGGCGGTTACAATCCTCGACCATGGTGAAGAGTGAGTACTTTTTTTTTTATAGATTTAATACAAGTCTGACATGTTTGGACAGACAGGTTCGAATGGATTATATTTTTTGCTCGAGGATGCAGCATTCGATGCCCCAGCGTGTGGTAGTTTCCTACGACATCAACTGTCAGTGGTCAAAGAAACTCTGGGATCGAATCGCGATCTATCCGTCTTCGATGACGCCCCATCAAGACCCTGCCAACTTCGTTTATCTAATTCCCAAGTTTCATCTGCCGGCGCATATACCAAGCTGTCATCTCAAGTTCTCCTTCAACAAGACACCTCACGTTGGAGAGATGGATGGAGAGGCTCCCTGAACATGGTTGGAGTCAGCTCAACCAGCTGGCTGCCAGTTTGAAGGTCATGGGACTGGGAGGATATCTTGATACCCTTGATGATCATATCGGCAACTACAACTATAGGAAATCGGCATTGATGGGTACGTACCGGCACTGTTCAGAGCACTGGTTCTCATATTCATTTGACAGGTGCCAGTCTGTTGAAAGCGATGCTAGAGGCGATTCCCGCCCGTACTTTACATACCGCCGTCTATGTTGAGTTCACTGCATCTCTCCCCATGGAAGATGTTCGACTCTGGAGTACTGCTATTGAGGCATGGGAGCAAGATCCCTCTAATGCAGTCAATCCGTTTGAAACGACTGTTGCTCGTACGTACTATCTAGGTTGTTTATTTTTGGACGGAAGGTTCTTATTACATGCTTAGAGTTGACAACGTCCAAAGTCCGTCTCACCCTCGCTCAAGAGGAAGCCACGGAGATAGCAAAGATCACCGCGTGTGAAATTCAACAGTGTGAGGAAGGAGCTCCACAGAATGATGGTGTGGCTGAGAGCATGGCGAATGATGACAGCGAAGACATTTTTGCAGTGCGTCACGACGTCGGGCCAAGCTCGATGATCCTGCAAGGCGTTGAATTGGAATGTGATCAGTGAGTGTCGCCATAGTTATCGCCATGTTCTTGGCTGAAAATCATGTTCCAAGACGACACCTGAAATTGGCTCATGCAGCGCTCGGCCCTCATTCGACGGATCATGATCGTGCAAGAGTCACCGAAGGCCTCAACAGACTTCGACGGCATATGGATACGTGGTTTGAGGTGCAGCAGGTTTATATGCCAGGTGTACCAGTGTGGCAAGCCGATTGGAACAAGGCACAACTACTGGCGAGATCTGAGGCTGAAGCCTTGGTAGCGGCGCAAGCAGATGCAGAAGTAGCAGAATCAGGGGGCCAGGGGAGACAGAAGAAGTCGCGATGAAGCAAACGCCGTCTGAAGGTGTCCTTGGAGGAAGCTCTTGATGCTGTCACAATGCCGCTCTTTCTCCCGAGCGCTTGTTTGGGGCGTCGTCACCAGAACCAAAAGCTCATGGACTTTGAATTCCGTCTGCAGGAGGCCGAGGCTTACAAGTGCCTGACGACGATGCGCCGACTGCTGATTTACCGATCGCATTTGTACAAGTTCAAGGACAAGCATGTTACTGGACAAATGATGAGTACACGCGCAAGGTCGACAGTCTCCAATGTTCTCAATAACATTGATAAAGCCGCAACAAGATATCGAACACTCTGTGACCATCTCGTACTTTTAGCAGGCGCAATTGAAGGTGGAAAGCTGGGGTGGGACCGTCAGCTACGAGTGCTGAGCTCGACAGATGTTTGGCCTCTCGAAGACATTTTACCGGGGGAGACAGAGGGATGGCGGGCGATGAGCTGGATCTGGCATGTACATCGACATGAGACTGATGCCGAAGAGACTGCGGAGGGTACGTAATTTTTTTCGACGTGTAATCTGATCTGATCACCAGACCGATAGCCTTGAGGATAGAATGGTGCAAGACAAGGGCGCGGGCTCATCGCTGGCATGAGGAGACTATTCTATTGGAGGAGGAGATGAAACGGGTGAAGGCTTTTTTTGCATGGGAAGGAAGGACATGGTTGGCGTGTGCAGCACGGGAAGACATCTCGGATGGCGAGCGTGCATATGCTCTACGCCAGGCTGACATACGCTGTCGTATGTGGCTGCACTGCATCACCCTCTGGGAGAACATGCCGACGTGGTTGGCCACCGGTGTAGTCCCTCTTTCGAAGCGAGGTCGTCCTCGCAAACCAAAGGTATCCCCTCTTGCAACCATGTAGAAATCTATACTTTTGTATTTGTAGGTGAAAATGAAACCGAGATTCAGGTGCCAAAAAAACATAAGAAAATCACAGGGAAAACATAGGTCGGTTTTCCAAGCATTTCCAGAGAATGACATGGGGGCGACATCATGGAGAACCACTGGCGGAATGTACCGGAGATTGACAAAATGAGAAATAGAAGGGAGGGGACGATGACAGGACAAACGTTTCACATCAAAAGAACAGCGAAATTTTGATCCCTAACATGAAATACACAGGATGAACAGAAATAGAAGGCATGACGAACGTCTCACATCAAAAGCATGGCGAAGTTTTGATCCCTATCATGTAGGATCCAAATGGGAGCCAAGGCGCGAAATGACAAAGCAGGTTGTGCCTCATTTGTCGTCGCGCACGATGAGCAGGTCCCTTTGCCATCGACCCAGGCTAGGAAGCGATGCAGACGCTCACTCCCAACCGAAATCTCCCTGCCAAATTGCTATTGCAGCTGCAATCCATAATAAATTGTCCTTGAGCTTACAATGGCAAGGAATTATTTCATTATTTCTGTACTGAGTCGGCAGTCAATAATACATTATCCTGCAATTAGAGGGTGGGTGACAGTGGACATTTGTAACAACATGCATGTATAGTATTGTATACCTCCAATGCAATTTGCATGTGGTACCGTTCAGTGTGGATTTAAAGTTGGCGGATCATCTCAGTGTGCTCAAGAACAATCAATGTTTACCGTCCCTGTCAGATCTGGATTTCTTCCTAACTAGTAGGTTTTCTGAAAGGATCCTATTTTTCTCGAATGAATGAGTGAGCCACAAGTATCAAAAAAACCGCACAGCGAAGTCAATACACTCCAGATGCGAGGAGTCGAACCAATGCAAATGAGTAATACCATCTATTTCACCATATCTGAACAGTAAGTCTTCTAACAATACACATCATGTCTATGAATACAATCTCTAGTATCTACTCCTGCTGTTCAACTACGCACTCTAACCCTTCGCGACTCAACAAGCCCCTCCAAGAATCCTCTAATCCACCGGTATCATGCAGCTCCATGTACGTCTTGATAACGTCTCTACGTCTCCTCCAACAAAGCAGCCTTAGTGCTACAGCAAACGTGTTCACTCTCCCTACAACCAGAACCTTCCCTGACGCCGTCACGAAGAGATCTGAGCATGACAGAGTGAGTACGCCTCGATCGTTTTCCCCTTCATCTTCGACGTGAATCACAGCCCCGTCCCAGTCCTCTACGTCTCCCAAAGAGACATACACATCCGTTCCCTCTCCCAATGCTTGTATACACACATGTTGACGTTGAGGCTCTCCCACAGCTCTGGGGGAGCGCGCAGGGTGTGTTTTTGCGCTCCCTTTGTTGCTGCTCTCACTCTCCTCCGTGATAACCTTCCTCTTTGCTACCCTTCATCACGGTAGGTTGCTCACATGTGGCTCAAGGTGTCCCTTGGGCTTGACGGTGAAATAGAAGTCGAGTTTGTGGGGGTGGCATGACTCGGGACTGACGAGCGTCGCTGAAGAAGCGGGTGAAGGGATCATCATGGCAACAGTGTATGGTTATAGCAAGTGTCCACTGCGCGTCGTCATTGAAACAAACAGGTTGAGGTCTATGCTGTGCGCGTGGAATGGTTGATGGCAGCGTGTGACAATAAACGATGCAAGGGTGTTGAGTCGGTGATACTAACAAGATAAAAGTCAGCGACAGACGAAAGATGGAAACAATGAGCACACAGATTTAGTAGAATGTTTGTCTGGAGGGATCGCATTGAGGAGCCATCGACAGCTAGGTTCTTCAATGGTACCAGAGGGTGTTTTGTCTAGAAAGTCTTCCCAATTAACCATTGTAAAAGCGCGAATAGGACGGACAATACACTCGGTAAACAGATTCCTCCTGCAGCGCTGCTGGCGTGATGTCCAGGTTAAACATCCAGTATCAATCCTCGTTCAGATATCGTACTTTCGTAGTGTTCTTGTCACCGAGAAGGGGTGTGATGGTGGTGGGGAGAGTCGTAATTTCTAGAAAGTAAATGGCGAAAATATGAAATGAAATGAAAACCCATGCTGCCGAGTCGGGCGAAACCGGGGCACGGTTGCACCCTCCCCACAGGGAAGAAAAGATACGAATTCCATGAGTACCTAATAAAGCAGCTTGCCAGGCTATGATTGACGTTCTGCAGAGCGGTAAATTGTAATGTGATCCGGCCGGCGGCTGCAGTCAAAAGTTCAACATTCGACGCAAAAGGATATTTGACTTCATTCAGTCCAGTTCGGATACGGGGAAGCGAACCCCGAGCTGCCGTGAACATTGAAAGGTGGCAATGTTAGCCGTTACACCATATCCGAAACAGGGTACCTTGGGTGCTTTGGGTGCTTGGTATTTCTGATCTCTGGCGGTTGGAGAATAACAAGTGAGCTCATCCGCATGGCCCTCCACCAATCCTTTGCAGACTTCCTCCTGAATGGTAAGTATGTTTTTAGTGCCTATGCATCTTGACCCAACTAATCAGTGGGAATTATGATGCCACAGACTTTGAAGAACAAAGGCTACGAATCCTGCCCGAGATGTGGCTTTGACAGTAATACGACAATGCGGCTCACCGACAAACCATCTCCATTCCGTGACCTGATCTCTGTCAATGGTGTCGCATCCGCCACGGATGCCAGTCTCATCAACGATTACCTCCAAAAGGTGCATGGAGAAATTCAGCGCCTCGAAACCATTATGAAGGAGGCGCAAGAGGAGACAATTCGTCTGCAAAGCATTGTAGATAGCCACGGGGCACTGATGTCGTCCTTTCGCAAATTCCCCCCAGAGGTTCTCGCAACAATTTTCCAGCACGCGATCGTCACCCCACCGCTTCAAAACAGCCATTGGCTTCCTGGCGACATGGCACACGTCTACGATGCGCTTTGCGCACTTGGTAGTGTTTGCCGCCATTGGAGGGCGACGGTATTGTCGACACCCTCATTATGGGCTCAATTTTGCGTTCGGTTACCCTGGATTCGACCGACTGAAAGCCGATTGCCGTTGTTGGAAATCATACTGGACAGATCTCGCGAGGCCCATTTGAGCATCGGCACCAGTTTGATGGAGTTCGGTTGTGGCAAACAAAACATACGTGCTTTGCTCGAGTGTTTGGTTCCTACAAGTTACAGGTGGAAGCTTGCATCGATCGAAATTGACGAGGACAGTGTGGACATTTATGAGCAACTCCGGGGTCGTCTTCCGTTGTTGGAGCGGCTGGAGCTTGTTTCTGTATCTCCAAATTCAGAAGTTTCTTGGGAGACTTTCCGTGCCTTCGAGGATGCACCTCTTTTGCGGGAGTTGGCTCTGGGAGACGGCCTATCTCCTGTGCACAAATTCGCCCTCCCTTGGTCTCAGATAACTAGTCTCTATATCGACCATCAGATCGAGCCTGACGATCTCTATACTGTCTTCTCCATCACTCCCGGCTTACAGTTCCTGCATTTGTCCGCGCAAAATGAGGATGGCGGCAGTACAGCCTGGGAGCCGGAAGATCCCAATGACTTTGTTGTATGTTCAACTGTACGACATCTCGATGTCGCGGACCCAGCTCTGTTCCGAGCCACCACATTGCCGTCTGTGGAAGAAATTTCCATTGGCCTTCTCCCTGTGCACGAGGAAGAAGATAACAAATATGAGGAAGATCTCTTCTACGACTTCCTACATCGTTCGCAGTGTCCGATGCGGAAGCTAACAGTTCGTCTCGGCGAGAACTTTGATGCTTTTGAAAGAATTTTTGACCAGGCATTCAGGCTCACATGCTTGGACATTACACTGCATACAGTGTACTCCGCATGTAGCTTATTTGATGTACTTGCCTCGACCAAAATCCTTCCCCTGCTTCAGTCTTTGAAGGTGGTATACATAGCTCCGGAGGCCTACGATGAATATGATGACGTGAATCTAGGAGAGTGTATTGCTGATCTGTTCAAATCACGATCTCTTACATTCACAGCTGGCATGCTGTCGATTCATGTCGAAGTGATACCATGCAGTAACAACGCGCCACGGCTTGGGCGCGGTCCGTACTTATCACTGATGTTCTGGGCATCCTTCGAAAGGCGTCTGAGAGACACAAGACTCGCGTAGCCGCATTTCGATTGAAAAGAAACCACATAGTAAGTCTCTTGACTTATGATTGTACTCCAGCGATCTTTCTGATCTCATCCATCTTTAGGTGGTATAATGTGTGTGAACCCAGTCACTGCCTGATATATGATGCTACAGACTTATCCTACATTACTCTCGAGTACTTACCCTCTGTATCTGCAAAGAAATCGATTTTGTGGGTATACGTAAGGTGATATTCAATGAGGCGACGATAAAGTCCCGCTCTCGTGCCGAGGAAGAACGCATCAGCAATACTTATTCGGTTTTCAGAGGATCCTAAAGGTCTCAGGGCTGGGATTGCGCTATCTGACAGATACAAATCGGACGATATAAGCCCAAACCAGTCACACCTTGCGGTGTGGTTCTCTAGCCTATATCTGAAGCGGAGCGTTGGGTTATCGCCACCGGATATATCCCCACGAAGAAACAATGTACATGCAAAAAACTGATCGACTCGGACGAGGAAGACTACCCATTTCATCATACCTAGTGCTCTGCGCTCTGCTGGTCACCTTGCCAGTGAGACAAGTGTATATCAGATAGCATCGCTTGTGGGGGTGCGTCACACTCCACTCATCTATATCATCTAAGATCAGAGTATTTATGCTTACCGAAGGTCTCCTCGCTTCAATTTTCACCTCCTCGAGTGGATGTCAGCGATATGAATGTATTCACCAGTACAATAGCCGTAACTCCTACAAACCAACCAATTCTGCCTTCTTTACGAGACCCTGTCCATCTGCGATAATCCAATACACAAGGATCCCGGCCCCTTCTCGCGCCTTGGCGATGATATCTGGATCTTCGATACATCGTCTCGACGACTCGATGCCTACTCCAGGCTCAACATTGAGAGCACGGTAACGTAGTGTCAAGACCAAGAGCCACAAAGGATCAGGATCTCCATTCGCAACAATATACTCGTTCAACAACTTGATCCATTTTAAGGACCCTTGCTTATAATACTCCGCATATCGACTGTTGATGCTCTCGACCGCTCTCCGATCACTGAAAGACATGGGCAAGGGACTGCCATCTAGAACTCCGTTGAGGAAACTCCTAGGGATTTGAAGGTGAACAGACGCACCGTTTCTGAGTTGTCTGATCTCGGTACAGAGGGAACGGTGGTCACCAGATGACCAGTCTTCCTTTTGACATATCCGCGAGCAATATAACGCGAACTGACAGCCGGAACAAACCATGAACTTTCCAGCTGAGGTTCTAGGACACTATACCAGAGGTGAAATAAATGAGATCATCGACAGAAAGTCAACGCACCTGCCTGTGACCACAAAATGGGTCAGTTATAGACCTAGGGATATCAGATGGGTAGAAAGCAATCGTTACAAACTGGTTCCACGTTTCATAAATTCGCTTTAAGCCTGGATCAGTGAGACCAAGGAATAAATCGACGCGGTCTCGCTGGATTTTGGAGATGGCCTTTTGGGACCGCTTTAGAATTGAAGCGTAGGCGAAATGGGATGCAATCAGCTGTAGAATGTTCATGGTGTGATCCTCCACGTGGTTCATGGCTTCCTTGGTCACCTCGTTGACGAGCTCGGGATGAGTATGCAGGTTGCGGAACACCTTGATCAGATAGAGGAGTACGTCATATCCTAGGAGTTGATAAATGTACGAATGGCCATCCTCCATGACTTTCCGTAAGTAGAATAAACACTTGGAAACGCAATCTGCGGCTAGGTGTAATGTCACATCGGTAAATCGTGCGCGCTGAGTGACGAATCGTAGAACACGAGATATCCATCGGGCACTGTTGTTTTTCAGCAGAGCGGCGTGGACGGGTGGAGAATGGAGGGAGAACTGGAGAACCGGAGTTGCGACGGTCAAGAAAGATTGGTAGATAAGCCCTGAGTCAGACTCCTCCGGGATATGAGCGAACTCGTCCACAATGAATTGGATGATAAGATTAGCGGTGACTGTGCTATTTTCCTCCAGCCGGCGTATGAAGATGTCCCTCCATTCTGGTGAAAGGATCACAATGTATACAGCAGCGAATATTGACCGGGAATCCTCGAGATTGTATTTCGGACAGCCAAGTGGAGGGTGAAACCAAAGAAAGGGAAGATAGTCTCTGAGCAGTCTCGGTTCAATTATTCCAAGGGTGTTCGGTTTTGTGGTCCAGGACAGGATATGTACCACGGCGTGGTGGAAGTCGACGCACTTGAATTCAGGTGCTCGGGATGGTAAGATGATGTACTCGAAGAAGAGGCACATCCAGAATGATACAGCAGGCATAAGGGCGAATAGGGAGGGTGTGTTGTCTTGAAAGGACATGGACTGGTTGTGAAGGCCTGTGACTAGTGCGAGGAGCGAGGTACAGCTGCGATTGACTACATTTTTGGGGTCGAGCGAAGGGATCAGTGGAAGCCTCCCTCGTTTCATGGCCTGGATAGAGGGTGTGTCGAACTTGAGATTTTCTTCCATTACACGAAAGAAAGCTCGACGGGCCCTTTGATCATTGTGGGATTGCAGGGATAGGACCATCAGCGCTTCAATCGATCCGTCCTTGGCCGATCTCTAATTAGCAAATGCCAAACGTATCAGTATGAAAAGTCCTGGCATCGAGATGCAAAGCTGCACTCACGATGAGGTTCTCCATTCGAGTTAGGAGGAAGTTAAACGGGGACAGACCTTGTCGTACTGCAAGCCAAAAATCGACTAATGCGATGTGACTGGTGACTGATAAAGGAAGAAGCAACACAAATGGAGATTAGTCACCTACTCCCAGCATCGTCGCTAGTCCTTGGCATTCTCCGGTTTTGCATACATACTTGTGTTGCTAGGTATAGTGAGAAACAACGGCGTGATGCTGTCTTGGGAAGGATATGGTCATCGTTGGAGAAGGCGAACTTGTACTGTCCAAGCGATGTGGCTGCGGCAAATGCCGATACCCTTTAGCAACAACTCCTGTAGTCTAGTTTTGTTGGATCAACATGCTTTACAGAATTGGTGGATATTACTCCACAATCTACAAAGTCATGGAGGCCCTCGAAATACCAAATCCGTTGAACTATGATGATGCTCTGCTCGAGTTTGGGATCAGCTTCTGGCTTTGTGATCAAAACAAGTTCGACGTCTTGGCTGCGTACATCCACTGGGACGACTAGCCTGGTATGACGCTAGTGTCCAGCTTCAAAGTGCGTACTGGAGCCATGTATACGATTGGTTTACAGATGGTTGGTTCTAG